GGGGGTGTTAAAAAGTTAGATTTCAATTGTTGTTTAAACAATGTAACAAAATAGGTAATAAGAATAAGTTCAAAAAATATTTTTCCTAATTTTGCGTTTATAATGACCATCATATTATTCATTATATTCTATTTGATAAGACGATGAGCTGCCAGTTATAACCAATTGCCCGTCTAACCAACAATTAACAATAACTACATCCGGTGATACTGCTATTGCTACTTGGACTACACCTGATGCCACAGACAATTCCGGTCAACCTGGATTATCATCGAACTATCCCAGTGGATATCCATTCCCTGTGGGAATGACCGATGTTATTTATGAAGCAAGAGATGCATCTGGCAATGGAGCTCAGTGCACTTTCGTAATAACAGTCAATGGTACGCTATGCTACTGTTGTTTTAATCTTGTGTCCTACTTTTCTATTATATCAATATTAATGACAACGTTAAAAATAACAACAATAATAATGATAACATTAATAAAGAAGATGATAGTATAATTAATAATATTAATAATTATCACAATAATACTAGCAGTCCAAATAATCCTTTTGTATTAATAATTGCTAAATAGTATACATACATCAAAACAATAGTCTTTCAATATTTCAATATTCATATCAGTATTCATTTTGTACAGATTTATAACTAATTGTTATATTTCTTGCTTTAGATTTTTTATGCATAAATAAATTACTTGATGTTTTAATATCGGTACAGTTCTTAGACTGGTCGATTAGGAAATTTCTAATAGCATAATATAGGTTTATAGGTTTGACATACCCAGAGAGAAACAAAACAGTACGAATTTTTCCAATTTGGCATCCAACAACTTTGGCATCAAAACACTGGCTTGGACATTACAGTTTAAAGGTCATTTATTTATTTAGTTATTTATTTACTTGAATACTGTCAGAATCAAAATTGAATTTAAATTTCAGATAACCAGCCTCCAAACTTTGAGAACTGTCCAAGTGAAATTGAAGCAAACACCGACTTTAGACAACCAACAGCAACGGTTTCATGGACGGAACCTTTCGCCGTCGACAATGTAGATGGCAATTTAACCTTTACTAGTACATATTCTCCTGGTTTTATGTTTCCTGTGGGTGTATATACTAATTCATATGAAGCTACTGATAGAGAAGGGAACATTGGCAATTGTGTGTTCACAATCACAGTGTTTGGTAAGAAAGCTATTTATTTTAAACTGTTGTTTTAATAATGCATGTCAGTAAATAAACAAGAGCGACCGCTCACCGGTCCGCACCTTTCTCCACGGTACAGGTGCAAGTTATTATATTGGTTTTTTGAAGAGCTAATAAGATAGAAATTTTCAAATAATTAGAATATTTTTTTGTACAAGAAAATTATTTAGAATGTTCATTTGTACAAAATTAAAATATCTTAAAATTGGAAAAAAAATAAAATTTCTTAAAATTGAAAAAAAAAAAGAATTTAATACCAAGACGCGATTCAAGCTCACAATCTTAATTTCTTTATAACACATCATTTTTATGCTAGTATTTGGAGACGTACTAAGTATTCGGTACGCTAACACGTCAGGTAGGGCAAAACATCACTCCTATGATATTTTCCTGACGCAAAGTCATCTTTATACCTATATTTTGCAAATTCATTTTAATTTTGTAATTAATTTCATTTAAATCTTTATAAATATGGCATTGTAACTGTCCTTTATTTTCTTAAGTATCATTTGTGTATTTATTTTTATCTTTTTAGACCGTGAAAAGCCACAGATTCTTAACTGTCCTACTGGCATTACAGTAACCAGTTCTAACATTGCCAGATGGGCACCACCTAGAGCTACCGATAATACAGTTTTAGTGACACTGCTTTCCACAGTAAATCCTGGATCAACTCTACCATCAGGAACAACAAGTGTCACATATACTGCATATGATCAATACCGCAATGAAGAATACTGCATTTTCAGCATAAATGTACAAGGTAGTGTGACAATATTTTATTCCAATTTTATAAATTTTTAGCAAACAATTGATTGTTAATTGCCTCAGTTATTAAACCTTTTGAAAGTCATTAAAACATTAAATGCAATACAGGTTTATGTTTACGTACTGTTTATTTTAAGTCCATTTGTTTATATAATTGCGCAAAATAAATTGTAGGCCTAATGATTAATGTATGGAAAACGTTATCAGAAACTTGGTGTTAAATGTGAATACGAACGAAGGTCAAGAGAATGAAGGTAAAACACTTGTTTCTAAGTTATATACTTTATTTTTATTTTTAAATTCTTTAATATTTCTTATTTCCTAAACTTGAAACATAGGAATTGGTGCTCCGGTTATAACCTACTGCCCAGATAGTCAAGTGGTTGTTGCTGATGAGGGCGCTTTAGATGCTGAAGTATCGTGGATAACTCCAAACGCCACAGACAATGGAACCGCATTAACACCAGAATGTAATTACTTGCCGGGTAGTGAGTTTGATGTTGAAACACGGACTGACGTCATTTGTGTCTTCACAGCCTCTACTGGACTGGAATCAATATGTAGATTTTCAGTTAATGTTGAAGGTAACAAGTTTTCAGCAGAATGTAATTTGATACTATTAAAAATGTACATTAGAACTGAGTTCAATATGAATGCGCAATGAAACTCTAACATTAAATTAAAGTAAAACACAGCAAAAAATAAGTTAATAAATGTGGTTCGCTCATGAATGCATCTATAGTAATATCGTAATAAATTTTTTTAGGTGGTAATTACATTTTCTTATCAAAGCGCAGCTTATATTCAATAATCATATTTTTTATAGGTTATTAAAGACGAAAATTACCAATACAATAAGAAAGAACGGATTAGGAATAAATTTTGCAGAGTAGATGTAATACTTACATAAAACTAAACAATACTAATAATACATTACAATTGCTGTATTTACAAAGTTGGACTAAAACGAGAGCCATTATCTACTCTTATATTGATTTTTCTAGATTTATAATTAAAGGTTTCTTATTTTTAATAATTTTAGCTCCACCGGATTTAGAAGACCCGGTGCTCAGCTCCTGTCCACCAAATCAGAATATTGAAGCTGAATTAGGAAGTACATCTGCAGTGGCAACCTGGACACCTCCAAGTGCGACCGACAATTCAAATATAAGTCCAACATTAGAGGTTACAAATGAACCGGGCTCAAACTTTGATATTGGTGAGACAGTAGTACTTTACATTGCACGTGACTCATCAGGCAACACCGACAGTTGCCAATTCAAAATAACAGTGTCAGGTGAGTAAACTTGCTTATTATGTATTTTTAATTTAAATAAATGTTTTGAACTATATTTGCTGTTGAAATACATTATAACAAGTAAGAGGCCTTTTAGTTTTTTTAAAAAGAATGTTTAGAAAATAATCAATTGATGTAAACATTTTTTGTTTTTGGTTTTCTTCGTAAGGCTTTATTGATAATACTGATCCAGTTATTGAAGACTGTCCATCAAATATTAATGAGTTTGTCAGCGTTGGCACGACCACTTATCCAGTCGGGTGGGATCCACCTACGGCAACTGATGACTCGGGATCGTTAGATTTTGAAACGGATTATGAACCCGGATCCTCATTTAATGCCGGTGAAACTACTTTAGTGACATACACTGCCACTGACACCAGCAACAATGAAGTTTTGTGTACATTCACTGTGACTATTACAGGTATACTATCAGTTTTCTATACTTTAAACGACATCTTTGATTTCGAATTACGTATTTCCCCTTATTGCGAAGCATGTTTCTTGAAAAACATACATGTAAAGCTTAGGTAAATATCAGAAGCATTAATATTTTCAGGAATAAATACATTTATGCTTAAAGTCAAATGTAGCAATACTGTATAGTATTTTAAAATGCTGATATATTATGTATATATATATATATATATATTTATATATTTATATTTATATTTTTTGTGGTCAGTTGATACACAATCTCCAACTGTAACTAACTGTCCTGTTGCCATTGACGAAACTATACTATCGGGAGAAACATCTACGGTAGTGACATGGACATCACCAACAGTCCAGGACAACTCAGGAGATTACTCCGTTGAACCTTCTATTGCTTCCGGTTCAGTTTTCGATGTAGGAGAAGAAACAGTTGTTTACTCAATTTCTGATAATTATGGAAATACCAATAATGATTGTTCCTTTAAAGTCACAGTATCAGGTAAGGCATTACATCAATCAATTAATCAACATATTAACCAATAGCAATCGATCAATCAACTGGTCGATGAATCATCTGACGACTGTTTACAAAAATTAATACAAAATATTGGTCTCCATCCAATTAAAGACCACTTTTGGGACCTGGGTTTCCGTGGTCTTCAGCAGATTTGGACTCTCAGTCAAATAATAAAGATAATAAAATTGTTACTTAGGGACCACAGAAGTGTCTTTAATTGCAGGGGTCTTTCATTGGAGGGAGACCTGTAGTTAGATTTACAATATTTTGATATCTTTACAAAACTGTACGTATAGCAGGTTACGTTTGGTGTTTGAGAATCACTAGATAGTTGATTTAATTCAAATTTTTAATAATCCCGTCTACCCCTTAATAGTTCGTTTTTTATTTATTTTATTTTGTGTTCCAAAGACAAATGATATAAAAGGGGAAAAAAACATGTTTATTATGTGTGCTAGAAGACACTTTTCAGGAACATTTTTATGTTATTTATGTGATTTCAATTGCTAAGTCGGCTAATTTGTGAATAAATTGAATGAAATTGAAAGTCGGACGATTGATTATTTTATCAACAGTGGACGAGGTTCCCAGTTTCAACTTTTGTCCCGAAAGCAGTACCGTTAACACTGAACCCGATTTAGCGACAGGTATTGCTATGTGGGGAATGCCAATGGCAAACGATGCCGAAGATGGAACCATCATTCCAACATCGACATCAACATCAGGGCAGCCATTCAATTTAGGCAGCAATCCTGTTGTTTATACCGCTACAGATTCTTCCAATCAACAGGCAGAGTGTACATTCTATATAACAGTCATTGGTAAGATGATAATTTTCAGAATTTATAACCATCATAATTTCTTTATAATACAGAAATGCACCTAATAAATTGAATATAAGAATAAATCTCATAGGAGTGATGTGTTGCCACGTGTTATCGTACCAAATACCCGGTACGATAACACGTCAGGTAAGGCAAAACATCACCCTTATGGTACTTTCCTGACGCAATCACTCATCGAAATACGAATAAATCCGATACATATGTGCTAAAATTTTACAAAACTGTTTTACCATTATATTTAACAGATAACCAAGATCCAGAGTTCATCACAACCCCTGACCCTCCAGTGGTCTGGGTGTTAGCTGGATCATCGTCTGGAATAGTAAGCTGGGCAGTGCCAACAGTAAACGATAATGCCGATCCAAATCCTACTGTAAGTTTGACAGGAGGTACTAATGGAGGCAGTTTCCCGCTTGGCACAAATCCATTGACGTACACAGCAACAGATGACGCTGGCAATTTTGTTACGTATTCATTCGATGCAATTGTATATGGTAATTATATATATATATAATTATATAGTTATGCATTTTTGTTTATACCATTTCATTAATCAGTCATAGGTCTATAATTACTTCGCCTACATTTGCAAAGATTGTTTCTTAATGAACGAATACATATATTTAATTATAATGCACTAGGTGATCGGATCCGAAACTAGCCACTTGCAGAAGCTCGGTGGTCTAGTGGTTAAGACTTCAAGCTAGTTATCTGGAGATTGTGGGTTTGATTCCCACATTAATCACTTGCGAGATTTTCTTCGCTAGCATTTGTGAACGTACTGAGCATTTAAAACGAAAACGTAGTACAAAGGGAGGACAAACATCATTCTAATTTAAGTGTTAATTTCAACAAATGTTAGTCCCTACTGTAGCTTTTGCATTTTTAAGTGTTTTTTTTTATTATACCTGAATGAATAACCGAATACACAAATACAATATTATTAATAGGCCTATGTGATGGGGCTTTCTGTTACATCACAATATCACAATAAGGGTAACTTGGTATAATTATGTTTATAATATTGTCTCATGTCGTACTCTGCAAATAAATTCAGATACAAACCAGTCAGTAATATAACTTAATAATAATAATGTATCTTATATAATTATTTCAGAGGATCTACCTCCGATGTTTACATATTGTCCTGAGAGTTCTACAGAATATACAGATATAGGCCTTGCTACTGCTACAGTATCGTGGAACATGCCTACGGCTGAAGATGAACGAGACGGAACAATCACACCCACGTCTACCTCAGTTTCGGGCCAACAGTTCGGTTTTGCAAGTAACCGAGTCACATATATTGCTGTCGACTCATCAAGCCAGACTACTGAATGCGTCTTCTTTATAACTGTTTTAGGTAAGCCAAATATTGTGTTACTTACAAAATTAATTCAAAATGTTTTAAAATTTATAGTTAAATAACTACAACTATAATTTTAACGTCTAAATATATTTGGAGCCAGGACCCGCAAACTGGGAAAACATGATAGGTTATATTTGTAGGTACATAGTTGTTTATATGACTGCTGATTGTGGCTATGCCAGTGCTTCTGCTGATGGTGATGATAATGACGATATTAATAATAATGGTAATAATGATGATGGTGGTATTGATTATGATGCATTGTACAAGGTGGAAAATTAATTTGATATTGATAATCTGCAATTCTTATTTTTATTAGACAATCAAGACCCTCAAATAACAAATATAATACCTCCTGTTCCTGTCACTGCTGCTTTGGGAGCAACCAGCGCAGTAGTCACTTGGCCAGAGCCTACAGTTTCTGATAACGTAGACCCAAGTCCATCAGTACTTTTAACAGGTGGGGTAAATGGTGGGACGTTCAACATTGGAACAACTGATCTCAGCTATACGGTTACTGATTCAAGTGGAAACTCAATTTCGTATGATTTTGAAGTAGTTGTTAATGGTAAGGATATCACAAATCTTCATTACTTATTTCTTTCGCTTATCCTCGACAACCCTGTTTAAAGTCCCATTTGGTTTGTATTTTTTACTCGTCGGAGATTTGAAATACATAAATGATAAATATCATTTATCTTTGAAAGGCGTTATATTAATTGTTACTACAATGGTGATTAGGGGTATCATTATAAACTATTTTTAATACATTATGACAATAGACCTCACCTTTTCCGTTTTCATTTTTAAATCTAATTTAGTTTTTAGCTGCTGATTCTGTGTGACACCCTTTTAACTTTTTTATTTATTTTTATAAATTACCTTATATTGTAATGAAACGAGAATTAATACATTATTTTTGTTGCTGTATAACATATCTAATAATTAAAATATTTTTTTACATGTATGCAGAATTTCCCCCAGATGCAACCGAGCCTGTGTTCACATTTTGTCCAGGAGCTGTTACAGCCAACAACTCACCGGGATTATCGACTGGGGAAGTCACTTGGACTTTGCCAGTTGCTACCGATGACGGAGGTGACGTAGCAGTCACACCGGCATTCAGTTCTGGAACATATCCTATTGGAACGACATCAGTTGTTTATTCCGCAACGGACGGTGTAAATACAGTAACATGTACAGTTATAGTGCAAGTCATAGGTAAGCGAATTAAAATATAACATTTTTAATGGTGAACAATAATAAATACATCACTACTACTAATAATAATAATACGTATATATAATTAGGAATTATAGTGATGAAAGTAATTATATCAAAAATATCTTTAGTATTTTTCTGACAATTTTAATTATTTTTTAATAATTGTAGACAACGAGAAACCTACCATTGACAATTGTCCGGAGACTATGAATTACTATGTGCCTTCGTCGTCAACTAGTGTCCTAATAATTTGGGATGAGCCGACAGCATCTGACAACCTTGCAGTAACGTCTTTCACTCCTAACATGAATTCTGGGACTCGTCGGACATCAGGCACTGAAACTATCACATATACAGCATTAGACGCTGCCTCGAACATGCAGACATGTAGTTTTGTTGTCAACATTTTGGTAGAAACCAGTAAGTCAATTTCATTTTCTGACTGAAATACCTGACAAAATTAAAAATAGAAAAATTACTGCATCACAAGAAACAAAATTTAGATGCACATAATTGAACTAAATAATAGAAAAATTAATAGAATAAATAGAATGTTAAAAAAAGGAAAAAACATTTTATGAGGCCTACTTATCCATCTCAGAAAGCTGATCCCGGTGCTATTATTTCTCTTGCAAAATGCATATTATTTATTTACTCATCGCAATATTAGCCACCTATAAATCGTTGTTAGATATTTTTATCATTACTAGCTATTAAAAATAACTTTCCATATTTTTTAGATCCAAGAGGCATACAAGGAAGTGTGATTATGGATGAAATTCGTGGAGTAGACGGATTATTTTCGACAGCTTCAGCAAACCTACTTATTTCACAATTGCAGCAAGACGTATGACTATTATACTTATAGCTAATAGTCTACTATTTATAACAAGTTATATTTATAAGTTTTTTTTAGACTTGGAGAAAAACATGTTTTTTATAGTCGTTATGATTTAAAGTCAGGCTCCGGAGGAAAAACAATTTCTGATATGTTGTAGCACTGATTTTTCTAAGACAGAAAAAAAGTTTGTCTGACGAGAAACTGGGGAATGATGAATGAGATACAAATTTTTGAATATTTAAAAACTGGGGGGAAAAGGGGCGTAACCGCCCTTTTTTACACCTTTTCCCCCAGTTTTTAAATATTTAAAAATCTGTATCTCATTCACCATTCCCCAGTTTTTCGTCAGACAACTTCTGCCTGTCTTAGAAAAATTAGTGCTACAACATATAAACATTTTTTTTTTCTCCTGAGTCTGACTTGGATTCAACTTTCATGGCGTCAATACATTTGTTATTATTGTTGTTACTTTCTATCCATATTATAGAATAATATTGTTTATCCATTTACTTTTTACTTAGCTTGATGACCTATTCCGTAGCAGTGACATTAGGAATGATTTTGTTGATATTTCAATTTCAACTTATGACTTTAATGATGAAAATAACGCAGTGGTCATCTTTAATATTGATCTGATATCCAGTTCAGCGTTGGACTCTGATGACATAGAAGATGCTTTTTATAATGCTCTTTCTGGTGGAACTATGTTCGCATCCGACAACTCTATCCAGGCTAATACGTTCTTCGCTAGTAAGCAAATATTCTTAGTTGTCGACGGACGTGATTCTCAATCAATCATTTTCAATGACTATCCGCTTAGATTCGGCCCAGAATCGTGAATTAATATAGTTGAATTCCATGCACTAAATGGAGATAATTATATGAAGGCCTGCAATGAAGAAAGAGAGCCTAAGGGCCCACATGGCCAAATGAAAATTGTTGAATGCTCAGTGCAATAATATCTTTTAGCTTATGAATACACTACTCACCTTATTAAATAAGTTACCTTTCCTTTATAGAAACTTCAACAATATAAAAATATACTGTACTATTGTAAAAAAAAGCTAATGGGCTTCACGGTATTAATAAGAAAACTCAGGTTTTTTCATTCTTTTGCACTTAAGCTACAAAAAACAAAAGTAAAGAAAATATACAAACTTGTCCATACATTGTCTTCTATGTCTATGTTATTTGTTTATTCTATATTTGATTTCGAATTTATTGTATTTTCACTTAGATCTTATAAGCCTTGAAGGAAGTGTTACAATGGATGAAATCCGTGGGGTTGATGGTACATTTTCCACAGTTTTAGGCACTACGCTTATTTCTCAACTACAGGGTGACGTGAGTTCAGACTTACATGTTTTTTTCTTTCACTTATGTTAATGTGTTTCGATAAAAACAGTAAATATAAAATCTTAATAACATCAATTAGGCACCAGTTAGGGAAATGAGTAAATAAAACTGTGGCTTTTGTAATACTGTAGCTTATATATCAGCTCGTATGTGTCGTTTTATGTATTTTTTCATACAATTAAACATCTATAAATCAAGTAGACATTTATAAATTTTCTCATCATTAAACTAAATTTTTTTAATTGATTACATGAATTTTTATCTTTAATTTTTATATAGTTATACGACCTGTTTCGCACTACTGATATCAGCAGTGATTTCGCAGGAATTTCAATATCAAGTAATGAATTCGATGATAATAACAACGTCCTTATCGAATTTGTCACTTACCTTGTTGCGAGTTCTACAGTGATGGCATCCGACATCGAAGCTGCGTTTTACGGTGCTCTTACTGATGAAACTATGTTTGCAACAGACAATGCTATAGAAGCAAATACATTTATAGTCGGTTAGTTAGATATATTTGAATACATCACTTCTTAAACCAAAATTAGAGAGCCCAAATTTTATTTAAATTTGCAAAGGACTAGTGTTGATCGATCAAAAGAATGTTCTGTTCTGAGAACAGTATTTTCGTTCATTTATTCTGGTTTGTTATTAAAACAACAAAATTTGAGAGTGCAGCATTGCACTGAATTTCTTCAGACTAACATTATGATAAGCATAATTAAATAATAATAAAGTTAGTTTAATTAAATAGTACTGTAAGTATGCTCGGGTTGCACATAAGGCTGATAACGACTTCCTCCATTTTTGTCTGTTGAGATCTAGCTTCTTAACCAAAAATATATATACTTTCATTCAACACAAATGTTTTCTAAGTAATATTGTGTATGCTTTGCTTCTTTTTCTCCTTGTGTCCATGTACTCCACAATTACATCTGTGGTATCTCTTTTATCTCTAAACGACAAATAGCTGGTCTATCTTCTCTATGTGATTTCATCTTCTCATTTGCTGTTAAGTAACTGTCAGAATATTGTTTGATATTCTGTATAAATAGGCCTACCCGAGCTATGAAAGTTAAGTTTAGTATTATTTACCAGTAGAAGTTCCAGTACAATGATTTTTATAATAACAAAAATATATGTATATATTTAGGTGAAGATATTTGTACTAATTCACCTTGTCAAAATGGTGGCGTCTGTCAAAGGGTTGGTTCAACATATTCGTGCATGTGTACAGATGGTTACGAAGGAGATAATTGTCAATCAGGTAGGATATCTACGTGCTTTGGTAAATTGGTATGAATTAATTTCACTTTATTTGCCTTAATTGAAATTAAAGTGAATTCAACAGAAATTTTAGCCAATGATGTCTTTCTACAAGAGACGCCAAGTAACAAAATAGTATAGTAAGTATGGCTAACTTAAAGTTAACTTACAGATGTACAATACAAACTCTTTCTTTAATTGTGGTAGTTTTTTTTTCAATCTGGTAGGTGGGTTTAGACCCAATTGTTCATATGATTCTGTAATAGCTGATTTATTGGAAAAGTACTTAGAAGTGTTAACACCAGCAACTAAACATACTGGTTTTACCTAAACAAAATCCTTTAAAATAAACTATGAAAACCGATGGAATTTCGTCAAAAGTCCTTTTTAATTTATGTTGTTAACATATATAATATATATCAAATATATAGAAATCTCTTGCTCTCTCAGCAAAGGTCATACCGTTTATACAACAGAAGCCCATAAAGATATAATTTCGGATCTAAGATCACTAGTTTATCTTCCCTTCATGTAACTAGTGCACGGGCCTCTATAGTAATGGTCTAGCTGTATGACGCCCTCTGATAACGAGAGATTTCTACCAGAGACCTCTTTTTCATACAATAAGGAACTTTCGTCGATGAGCTGTGTTTGATACTACTGTATTTATATTTACAGTGTTAATAAGTACATGATGGAACATTGTAGGCTACCCTGTAGCTTTTCAACGAATAAAGTCCTATGAAAAATCATTGTGTAATAAAATGCCTCCGACGGGATTCAATCCTGCGATCTCTCACTGACAAGGCGAGCATCATAACCACTAGACCACGAAGGCTTAATGG